GGAAGCCCCCCCCCGCCTCGGCCCCCCCACCCCCACTCCCACCGCATCCCCGTTTCCCCTGCACCGCACAGAGCAGCAGCAGTGAGCAAGGCGCTGGCTCCCCCACCGGCAGCGCAGGTCCAGGCATCCCACAGCGCATCCCACGGGGCTTCCCTCTCCTCCCAACAGCCACGGGGAGCGGGCGCTTCGCATCAGGGGAGAAAAGCGCATCGCGCTGGCTCTCATGGACCCTCGACCACTCCACCCCAAACTCAAGAGCGCTTATTAAACAGCAGAGGACCACGATGGCTGCGGGGGCGTCTCCACGGAGACAGGTGACCTCTCAGGCAGGAGCACTTGCTGGCTCAGAACACTACAAGCAAAGCCGTGAGGCCTGGACTTCCAGCAGCTCTGGAGAGTGTTCTCTCCTTGGTTTGTCCACGGCCAACCTCAGAGGCCCCACGGGGTCAGGGCGAAAGGCAGCAGTGGCAGCAACAAAACTGCCAAGACCCACAGCCTCGGGTGCAGCTCTCAGCTGGCCAGAGGCAGAAACAGACAGTGCACGGTTACTCTGCATGGCACCAGTGCACACACACCATCTGGGCGCAGGCTAACGAGGAAGTCAAGGCCGGCCTTGGCGACGTCCAGCCGTAGGTGGTGTTGGTCTCTATGGAAAGGGCATCTCAGAAGCATGTGGGCTTTTAATTCTCCACATCCCTGCTGTCCAATCCAGTAGCCACTAACCACATGTGGCTGCAATACAGCTGGTCCAAACGGAGATGTGCTCCACGTGTCTCGTCTGCGATGGTTCACTAAGACTCAGCGTGAACAAAACTATTTATATGGATCACAGGTTGAAATAATATTTTAGAAATATGAGGTTAAATAAAATACATTAAAGTTAGTTTACCTTGTGCAGCCAGGTTCCCAATGACCCCAAAGACTCCTGCCTCCTGGTATTCACCCCTTGTCTGGGCCCCTCCTGGGAGGGTTGGTCGTAAGACAGTAGAATAAGGTAGCAGGGTTGGGGAATGTCACTTCCAAGATTTGGCCAGAAGACACCGAGACCTCCTTCTTGGTCACTTGGATCTTGGGTGTCCACTTTGGGGAAGCTGCTGTTAGAGGCCCACGTGAGGAGGACCTGAGGCCTCCTGCCCACAACCACGGGAGTCAGCTGGGAAGTGGGTCCTGCAGCCCCACCCAGCCCTCAGATGAGACCACAGCCCTGACTGGCAGCTCAACAGCACCTCACGAGAGACCCTGAGGCACAGCCAGCAGTGAGGTTGCTCCTGCATTCCTGACCCCCAGAAGCTATCAGATAGTACACTGTTTGTTATTTTAACCAGCTCAAAAGCTTTTGGGTAATTTGTTACATAGCAATAAGTAACTTACACAATCTGGTTTCTTTTGCTGTTTTAAGAGATGTACAGAAAATGTAAAATTACCTATATAACTTTAATATATACACTTTTCTATTGGACAGCACTGCTCTCCATGTTTCCAAGTACAGTGAGCATACGTTGTGATCACAGATGTCATAACTGGTCCCTCAACCACATGACGTGACTTCTCTATGCATCACTAATGCATGTTTCTTTCTAATAGGTTTACTTTTAAAATCTGAGATCAGATTAAATACATGCAGAGAGTGTGTACCAAAAAAACAACCTATGTTAGTGTTTTTCTTATTCCATTTAAATGAAAGGTAAATATTAATATCTTTTTCAAATCATAAAGAGTCAGTGGGGAAATGAAGAGTCCCAAGAAGAAAATAAAGATGATTTGCAAACACGGGTGTTTCTTCTTGCCGGTAATGTTGCTATTTACGGACTCTTATCTTTGTAGATGAAGTCAGATGATAAGCATTTCCCCTGATTTAAGCAGGCTTCTACAGCCTGACTTTAAATGCTGTTCCCACCATTGGCCACATCTGCCCCAATTTACTCAACCAGTGCCCAAGTGCTGGACACGCAGGTATTAACTGCACAGCAAGGAATAGGGCTGTGCATCAATCTCAGTGCTACCGCTGGCTATCAGGGACGGTCCTTGTTAGCGTGGGAACCACGGGGCCACAAAGAGCGCACGGGCTCTGAGGGCTCCCGGGGGCGGATGGCAGGCGACTTACTTTGATGTGCTCGTGGAGCTGGGCTTCATGCTGCCGGGACAGCTGCTCGTGCTGCCTCTGGAACTCGGCGATGAGGATCTGCCTCTGGAGCTGCTGCTTCTGCTTGAGGGCCAGGAGCTCCTGCTGCAGCTGCTGCTCCCGGATGCCGGGCTCTGTCGCGGGCAGCGGAAACTGGTGGTCCAGGCGCAGGTCCATGGGCACCGCCGGGGGGGCCACTGGCAAAGGCAGCGCCGAGGCCACATCCACTGCGGGACAGAGCACAGCACAGAGCGCTGGTCACCGTGGAGCCCCCAGCCTCGCCCACCCTCCCAGAGAGCCGCCACCGGCAGTCGGGGTGCCCACACGCTGCGGGCCACTGTACGCTTCAGACGCCTCTGCACCCCCTCCCTCAACAGGCTCAAAAGGCACTACCCGGAGACCTGTGAGGTTTCTATCCCTCAGGCCAAAATCAGTGGACGTTTGGACCAGGACACACACTCCCGCAAACTCTCTTCCCTCCACCCGACCTTCCACGAAGGGGCCCCTACTCTCTCAGAGGACCTTGATGCAGCCCCAGCGGCCTTTTCTGACATCCTTTTTGAAAGTCGACGAAGAGAAAAAGCAAGAAAAAGGCTCTAAAGAGCACTGAACACCCTTAAGTAGAGAGACAAATTGCCCATGCTTTTCCCCTCCTTTTCACAAAGACACAGAAGAGTTGTGTGCAGGAACCACAGGGCAGTGTGTGCCACTTAAGTGATCCAGACGGACGCTCCGGACGGGGAGAGCGTTTCCATGGTGAAGCGAGCGCCCTCTGGAAAACAGGTTTACCGGCTGCAGCCAACAAAACGCTCCCCCGGCTCGCCCGCACAGCTTGCGCATCAGGGTTACGTGCTTCTGCGCTTTGCCAGGAAATGGACTGTCTTCACGGCACTGATGTATGGCCGAGAAAGAGCCACAAGTGACTCTGATTAGAAACAGAAGCTGAATCGATCTCAAGGCTTACAAATCAATACCAAATTAAAGTGAGAAAAAGAATGCAGAAAGCGAGCCTTAAATTATGGACCTCACAAAATAACCCGACGTGGGTGCTCCTACCGTGACAGGACAGCATGTGAAAAGCCGAGGGGCGCTGGCGGGGAGCCCCTTACTTCCCGCGAGGCTCCTGTAATGCTTCCCCTCCTCTCAGATGAGCACCCCGGGCGCTGCTCGTAGAGAGAGGAGGGAAGACAGCCCAACACCAAGGCCCATGGTCCCTGTCCCTTCCAAAAAGCCCCCTCACAACCTGCTCTGGGCTCACGCAACGGCACAGACCAGACCCGGGGACCGGAGGCTGGGGCCTCGCCTTCTGGGGGGCTCAGGGCTCCAGTGGGAGCCCAGACTCAATATCCACGGGCCCCACCAATGCCAGCCCCTCACCACCTGGCATGGGGCCTCATCCTAGCACCTCTGCCTAGACCCTCTGCAGGTCAGGCCTTGAGACAGACACACCTGGCCTCGTCCTGGGGGCTCCCTAAGTGAGCGTGGGCCACTCACAGGCCGGACATAACCCAGTCCCTCAGGAAGTCTGTGCCCCACAGTCCGTAGATCCTGGAAAAACAGCCCATGAGTGGAACCACCCCTCAGGACAGGGCATTTCTGTGGTCACTGCCAGGCGGCAGGTCCCATGCCGACCATCCTTCTGATGAGCGAGGCAAGGTGGGGCGAGGCCCAGCTCTGGCAAAGCCCTGGGTTCTAACCCCCGAGCTGACTCCCTGAGCCCTGGAGCCCTGGACTAGAACGTGGCCTCACACCTGCAGGGCCGCTCACCTTGGGAGAGTGCGGGACGCTGCCCGGGGCAGAGCGGGGCCCTGGCTCTGGGGCTGAAGTCACTGTCTCTCCCACCCCCGGGACCAAGCCCTGGCCTCCACCCCAGGCCCCCAGAGCCTGGAGCAGCTTCCATGCAAGGAATGCCTGGGACCTGGCCATAGGGGATGGGGAAAAATCCTCAATATTCCAGCAGTTTCAGAAAATATTGAATTCTCCTCTCTTTGAAGCCCTAACAAGCCTGGGATAAATACCAGCTGACTGTTTTTCTTCGGTTTCTTCCCCCAACTTTTAAAATGTATGTTATTTCTTTTTTTCTAGTGGGGTATGAGGCTTGATGTGTGGCGAGGTCTTTATTTGATATTTACGTGAGAAAAATCTGCACAAATGAACTGTTTTCGTGAACAGGCCTGGGGACCGGTGGACCCCACCAACCTCCACTGCACACCAGCTGGTAAAGGCTGGCTTTTATTAATTTCCTTTTTCTTTCTTTTTTGATCATTTTTATCATGTAATGTAAGAAAACGGAAAAACAGTGCAAACAACACCAGTTTTATAAAACCTCAATCAATATTTCCCCCCATTTGCTTCAGACGTTCTTTTAAGGAACAGAATACTATGGAGGGCAAGGAGGAGGGCTCAGGAAAGAGACTTAGAGGAAAGAGAAAGTGCCCTGACGTCTTCAAGGAGATTCAGTTCATGGTTTTCCCTCTCCGGTGGGGAGAGGTGGTGTATATTATCCTGCTTTCACTAATGACAGTACTGAATGCTTCCTGAAAAACATTGTAACTGTGAATGATGGCAGATTTTTCCAGCTCCCTTTCTGCATCCACAGATGGGCTCAAAAAGTTTTTCTATTAACCGGTTACCCTGCCTAGTTCCTTCATGGATTACAGGTGAGTTACTTAGCAGACCTCCTCAGGTGAGTTGGCCTTTGCTTTCTTTTATTTTTTGGTCTGCGTTGGGTCTTTATTGCTGCGTGTGGGCTTTTCTCTCTAGTTGTGGTGACCGGGGGCTACTCTTTGTTGCCGTGCGCAGGCTTCTCACTGTGGTGGCTTCTCCTGTTGCGGAGCACAGGCTCAAGACCCGCGGGCTCAGTAGTTGCGGCACACGGGCCCCAGAGCACGTGGGCTTCAGTAGTTGGGGCGCATGAGCTCAGTAGTTGCGGCATGCAGGCTCTAGGGCATGCGGGCTTCAGTAGTTGTGGTGTGCTGGCTCAGTAGCTGTGGCTCGCAGGCTCTAGAGCACAGGTTCAGTAGTTGTGGCACATGGGCTTAGTTGCTCCGTGGCATGTGGGATCTTCCCGGACCAGGGCTCGAACCCGTGTCCCCTGCACTGGCAGGTGGATTCTTAACCACCGTGCCACCAGGGAAGTCCCAGTTGGCCTTTGCTTTCTAAGGATAAACCCGACTCTTGGTCTTCCGGGGTTTTACACACACACACACACACACACACACACACACACACACACACACAAAGAGTCGCTGATGCCTTCAGCCTGTGACCGTTTCATTACGAACATTTGAATCCACAGTCATAGGTGAGACGGGCCTGCGGTGTCTCTTACACTCTGCTTGTCTGGTCAGGGAGCAGAATTTTAGCTTAAGAAAATAACCACAGAGAATCTGTGAAATAACCATACTGCCTGCATTTTGTAGCAGTATCATCTCACTTGCCCTGACAGCAGGGGTGGTCAGACGTGGTCCCCGCTCATGAGACGTGCAAAGGTGAACTAAGACACTATGTAGGAACAAGGCCATCCCCACGATGCTGGGCAGAAGACGACCCATCCACCGCTCACTGTTGCACACCCTCTCCCCACTTCTAATTCTTCCTAGGCGGAGTCAGGAGGACCACCAGAAATGTCTAGTAGTTATAACGTCTTCAGAAACTGAACACAGGGCTTCCCTGGTGGCGCAGTGGTTGGGAGTCCACCTGCTGATGCAGGGGACACGGGTTCGTGCCCCGGTCTGGGAAGATCCCACATGCCGCGGAGCGGCTGGGCCCGTGAGCCATGGCCGCTGAGCCTGCGCGTCCGGAGCCTGTGCTCTGCAACGGGAGGAGTCACAACAGTGAGAGGCCCGCGTACCGAAAAACAAACAAACAAACAAAAAAAAACTGAACATAAAACAACTTTAAGGGATCCTTTTTATTGACTCCAAAAATAAGATGGGCCAAACGTTTCTAAGCATGTGTTCACGTACCGTGGAAACACTCCTGCTCTGTGCTGGGCACTGGCTTGTGGCAGGTCTGATGTGAAGACAGGCAGGAGGGGGCAGTGGGGCCGATGGAAGGCCTGGGGAAGGGTTCACACCTTCCCCAGGTGTGAGGAGGGGGCTGCATCTCTGAGGCGGGAGGATCGCTGGAGGTGAAAGAGGTGGGGCAGTGGCCGCAGGGGCAGCACGGGAGGACTCGCGGATGGCCGGGCAGGACCGGGCCCTGTGGATGGGGCGGCGGGGCGGGGAGGGGCGTCACACCCACCACCCGCAAGCTGAGCCTCGCTTTGTTTACTACACCTTTTCTCAGCCTCCTGTGTGTCTGGAGGCGTAGGGAACCTTAGAAGGAAACACCCCCTGGTCATGCCACAGACACCGGAGCGGATGCACCCTGGGGGGTGGGCACGCAGGGTGGCGAGGAGACCCCACCCCACCCCGGCAAGCCCCTTCTGCCCGCAATGAACAGACAGAAGGGAACAGCGGGGCACGGGGGGGCGGGGGGCACGTGCTGTCCTCGGCCCAAGGCATCCCTGTTCTCACCACGTTCCCTCCACATTTACTGTGAGAAAGGGATGCAGGTCCTGCCTGGGTTGACCCTTTTGAGGTTTCACATAAAACTTCATTCTTCTGCTAGAGAAAGTCAAAAGCAGAGCAAAGAGAATGCAAAGCTAGACATCACCTCCGTCAGACGCACCGCGACCAGCTCCTGCCATTTCTCCACCTCTGAAAACAGCACTGCATTTACAGACATGCAAACCAACAGTGGAACTTACACGAGGCCGGGGGACGCAGGCAAGGTCCTTGTCCCGCTTCGTGTGCCCAGCCTCGGGAAGCCAGGCGGGTGGGGAAGTGGCCGCGTGGTCCCCAGGCCTGGCCTGAGCGCCAGCTGTGGCATCAGACCCACAGTCCCCATTCATTCCCATCGCTGGCGGGTGCGTCAAACATGACTCGGACTATTTCCGTATCAAAAACTCTCTGAAATGCCATGAGTTCCCAACAGAAGCTGCTGGTGCTTTTGACCCAAAGAGCCCTGAAGAAACAATGAAAGCTTCTCTGCTTAAAGAATGCAGCATCAAGACAAAAAAGCCTGTATTCTCATGAATATTTTATGGCAGAGCAGAAAATTGCTTTTATAGGTTGTGCCTTGAGAAACATATTAATACAATCAGACTCATGACGTTAGTAAAAGCACAAAGACCATATTCAGAGTTTCAATAAGAAATGGCCAAGCCTGGGCTGTGAATTGT